TGTAGAGCAGGGTGGCCTCGAACTCACAGAGATTCACCTGCCTCTTCCTCACTGCCTAGCTGTTGGGGAGTCTTTCTATTCACCCCAGAGAGGGCAGAGAAGATTTTATGCACATCCAGGTTCACTCATGTCTAGTTAGGTAAGATGGTGAGAATATCAGGGTCGCTCATGTCCAGCTTGGTGAGCTGGCGAATGTTCTGGGATTATCTCCAGAAGCATGGCTACCTTGAAGGTAGCTGCATCATTAACAATTCCCACCCTAGCATGGGTGATGCACAGATGAGTCCCCATCCTGTCAGCCTTCTCCTCCTGAACACTCTAGTGTTTCCAGGTGAGGGTCTGATGTCCCTCATCCCCATTCTACCAAGGGTCTCAGGAGTCTGGGTGATCACAGCTGCTCTGAGTCTGAGTCAGCGATAGCCACCTCACAGTGTTACACAATGGGGACACCAGTCCCACAGGGAAAGTGTTCCAGGAAGTCACTGGCTCATTTCCTCAAACAATGTAGCCATCAGGCATCAGGAAGAGGTTGCAGAGCATTCCAGAAGGAAGGCGATGAAGCCCAATGAAATTCAACTCATGATCATGGAATCGGAGGGAGGGAGGGAGAGAGGGAGGGAGGGAGAACAGAGTGAGGGGGACCAATAGAGGATACTTGTGGCTCAGAAGGTTGTTGCCGTGGGTCTCTTCTTATGTACTGTCCTGGAAATGACATGGAGTGGCAGTACAGACACAGGGAAGCCAGGCTGCGGACAGCATTACATAGGTGTTATGGGCCATTCTGTTCTGATGGAGGTGATAGTCTTGTACACCCATAGAAGTCAGCCAATGGCATAGAGACCACACATTTGCCCTGCGGTCAGGCCATGTCCCTGGGTCTGACACTGCACCCTAGCCATACCTGGGTAAAATATAACTGGTGGGGAGAAAGTTTCTGCCAGATTCCCCACACCTGCACATCCTCTCTTGCCTCTGGAGATCTGGGGTCCATCTTGGCCCTCTCCAGTAACCCTGTAATTATCCCAAAAGTGTGATAATTTGAATGTAACTGGCCCCCATAAGCTCATAGCGAGTGGCACTATTAGAAGGTATGGCTTTGTTGCAGTAGGTATGACCTTGTTGGAGGAAATGTGTCACTGTGGGGGTGGGCTTTGAGGTCTCATACATGTTCAAGCCATGCCCAGTGTCTCAGTCTTCCTGTTGCCTGTGGATCAAAGATGTAGAATTCTAAGCTCCTTCTCCAGCACCATGCCTTTTTAGGAAGGCAGGTCTGATCTATCCCCTTGATCAGTTACTGATTCAACATCACTGTCAATGACCTACTGTATGCCTGGAGAGATATTGGAATCAGAGATGCATGAACTCTCTCTTTGTCCAGAACATCTCTAGGGTGGAGAGCCTGGGGGACCCAACTGGGCTGCCAGGTGGGCTTGGGCATCGAGAGGAGCTTAGGGCCTCCAGCCATATGCTGCTGTGATGGGCACTGCTGATGGTTCAGGGTAAGCATCTCTTGACCCCTACAGTGAGTCGGTAGAGTTGAGCTACGCTGGGACCTGGCTGGGGAGGGGACATCACTGTCCATTGTGAGCTACTCAATGGAGAGCCATTCATGGGAGCCCACAAGCTACAGGGTCCTCCATTAGCCTTTGAGTTGAGTCAGGGAGCAAGGAGGCCTTTGTCTCCTCCCAAAACCCCTTGTCAGACTGGGTCCCTGGCTCTGCATACCCCCTTTCTAGCTGCATGTGATATTGGGCCAGTTGCACATGGCCTTAGGAGGTGCTGAACTAAAGAGAGGGTGGAAGGTAACCAAAGGGGGAACTCCATCTACGAAGCTAAGGGGAAGGCGTCTCCCATGGTGGGGTGACACTTTTCAGTGATGTGTCTCCTTTGGTGTCACCCATGACCTGCAAGTAACCCTTCACCCACATTCTGCAAGGGTCCTAGTTTGCTTTAACTACTGTGATAAAAACATGGACCAAAACAGCTTGGGGAGGAAAGGGTTTATCTGGCATACATATTCTGGGTCAGGGTCCATTGAGAGAAACCAAGGCAGAAACTCAAGCAGGGCAGCAACCTGGAGGCAGGAGCTCCAGCAGAGGCCATGGAGGCTGCTACTTACTGACTTGTTCCTCATGGCTTATTCAACCTGCTTTCTTTAGAACCCAGAACCACCAGTCCAGGGGTAGCAATGCCCCCTAGTGGGTTGGGCTCTCCCACATAAATCATAAATCAAGAAAGTGGCCCACAGTTTTGTCTATAGGCCAGTCTTATGGGCACATCTTCTCATCTGATGTTCTTTTTTCCAGATAAATCTAGTTTGTGTCAAGGTGACAAAAACAAACAAAAACAAAAACTAACTCATTGGTGACCTTATTCCTTCAGCTGTGAAATACACACACACATACATGTGTGTAATGTGTGTATGCATACACATGTATATATGTGTACATGTGTACACATACATTTATAAGTAGAGAAATAACTATTAAATAAACCAATCTCTAAGATTTTATATAATCTTGAGGAGACTGGGTCATAATCTTAAGGGTCAGGTCTATATTTGAAATATGTTAGTAATAAACCTTGTTGATTTCACAGAGGGCACACTCTGACTTCTTGATTGGAGCCTGGGTAATAGGACAGGAGGCTGCCTGTGGCATTTTAGTGGCAGCTGGTTGCTGATGGCATGCAGGTGGTGAACAGGTGTGACTAGTGAAATGAGAGACAGGCATACTCCTCCTCCTTTCCCCTGTCTCCAAGACCGGCTAGGGTGGCACTCCTTCATCTAATGGGTAGGGTGCTGCCCATCTCCAGGCACCTGTCGAACCACTCTGAGTGTGACCCGGTGAGAAGCCAGAGTCTCCATGAATAGGAGAGACAGGTGTGGAATAGGTGTGGGTTGGGGAGGTGACTGTGCCTGTCCCCAGCTATGACGCTGTAAGCATGGGTGGCATGGCCACCAAGGAGCTCTATATGCCTGTGACTGTGGCCTGCTGGACTTTCTCTCCCTAGTCTCAGGGTCAAGGACAGGAGAGTCCCAGCATGTAGATGCAAGGAGGTTCTGACAGACTTCACAGAGTCCATCTGCCAGCCTGTCCCAACCCACGGGTTGTATTGCTTCAACTTTGTTGCATACGAACAAGATAAACTCACTGAACAAATCCAAACCAAAGTCAAGGGAGCCAGCTACTGAGGACCCTGGAGTCACTGCCTTGACTGCCACGTGGGTTAGAAGCCAGTCCTGGAACATGGTCAAGAGCTGCCCCCACTTCTCCACTCCCTTTCTTCTTCCCCTCCCCCCAGATCTGTCTAACCTACTCTTTTCTCCTACCCTGGGGTTAAACCTTTCACTGATGGCATTTCACTTAATCCCATAGTAGTCAGGGGGAGGTGCGGTTTTCATTGTTTTAAGGGCTGGACTGGCCAGAGAAGTTGTACAAGCTCACAGGGTGAGGGTCAGGTTCTTAAGCCAGGTTCAGTCATGTGCTGAGTTTCTGTTGTCTTTAGCTACTTGGCTGGTGACCACTGGGGATGGCAGCCCCAGAGACCAATACTCAGAAACTTAACTCAGACATTCCCCACCTCTAGGAAGCCCTCTATAGCTCCTCCCCCAGAGTCCATTCATGGCTTATCTCACAGCACTGGGGGGGGGCACAGACACAGTGCACCCCCTCAACTATGCCAGGTTAGGTGGCTGTGCCTGTAGCAAGGAGGGTTCTGGGGACAGTGAGTGGTCCTGTCCGCTTTACCCAGAATCATGTGTGACTGCCTCATATAGCAGCACAAGAGGGCCCTCCCTGGGGGTCATAGATGCAGTATCCTGCCCTATGGCCACCGAAGGAACCTACCTGCTCTTTGCTTACATCACCCAGTATACTGATCTTGTGAGAATGTTCTAGGAAAAAAAAAAGGTCAGTTGTTCAGGTGTGGGGAGTTAAAACTGGAAGAGCTGATGGAAAACCCCAGAGAGGACTGGGCCAAGGTCAGCAGGACCAGAGCACAAAGAGATTGTTTAATTAAGTCTGCTCCCACAGGGAAGTCCTTGTTAAGGGACTTGGCCCAGGGGAGGCCTCTGGCCTGGGGCAGCTCCCAGATCACTTACTCTCCCCTGCTTCCCAGTGCCCCTCTTTACTGTGGGGAGATGCACTGAGGCCTCTGGCCTCTGGAGACACAGCATTCCTATCCTCCTGGCCAGGCGCCAACAGGTAGCCTCTAGCATGGCACATTTGATGAAGATATTAAATAGTTAAAACCCCGACTCAGGCTTGAGATGACTCAGCAGAAAAGATGCCAACACCAAGCCTGACAAGCCCAGGTCAATCTCTGGCACAAGGTAGAAGGAGAAAATCCACTTCCATGAGTTGCTTTCTGAGCTCCACACACTCTCAGACTGTGGGAGGCATAGAGGTCCTTGTCTGTACAGATAAGCCCTAAGGGAACCTGGAATATTAAACACACAGGGATGTTCTTTCAAAGGAAGGGATGCATAACCTGTTATCCACCCAGAAGACTAGGAGGCAATGTGGTTAATACCTTGGTGACCTTTTCACTATCTGTGTGGCTGAGGCCACACCAGATCCTTCTGCAAAGCTTTTCTGTTTGCCTGTCAAACTATAGAACCCATCTTCATGGAAGGTGTCACATGTCCTCAGTCTTCAGAACTCATCTTTATGGAAGATGCCACATGTAGTTTACAAAGAGTTTTGATGTAGTGACATCTTTGCTTTATTGTTAATTGTCACCAGGAAAGTTGTCACCAAGTTGTGCTGTGCTTAAATATGCCTAAAATAAACTACTCGGAGTCACTCCTGAAGTGTGAGCCTACACCAGCTACGTAGTCATGTTGAACTGAACTACTTTCTTGCCTCCCAAGGATCCTTACTCTGCTGGCTGTGGTGGTCATAGAAACCCCTGCAACAAGTGTGCACACACACATAAATAAATGAAATAAAAAATTGAAAAAAAAACCCAGCTGTGACTCAAGTCTGATAAAGGAGTTCATTTCTACTATGTGTTGGGCAGTTTATTTTGGGAACAATCAGGTTGGATATATGTCCTCCACAGGCAAAATCTGCAAAAGTCACCTAGAAGCTGCAGGCTTGTGTTACCAAGGTTGCATTCAGAGTTTGTCAGGGGCTTCCCCCAAGTTACCACGCTGGGGTTAGGAGTCCCTGGGAGCTCTGGAGTTCTGTTCTGTGGAAATGGGTGTGATGTCTAGGGTCAAATTCTTTTCCTGTTTCCAAGGCTTAGCATGTGGAAAGCATAGGAAGGATTCCTCAAAGGCTGTAAAGGAAGCAAAAAGGGGGCAAGGAGACATATGAGTGGATTGTAGGCAGGACAAACAGCACAGGCCTTTTAAATTTCCATCTGCCCTGGACCCATTGTAGCATCAGAAAGATGTATTTCTGCAAAGGTGAAACCTTCAAGTCCCTGAGAGGTCTCCATGGTCCTTCATTAGCTATTGATCATCTATTTCCATCATGCCCATTTTAGAGAGGGGAAAACAGGTTTGGAGAGTTGAGTCCTTCACTTAAGGCTACACAGTAGGGAGCTGAGATTTACAGCTAGGCCCCACTGGCCCCAGAGTCTGAACTTCTACCCATCCTCAGCTATGCTTCAAGACCATGCTGAGCCTAGGCTGGAAGACCCTAATGAAAGCTGCAGGCTTGGATGTTATCAGACACATGCCAAACCTGGCTCCTGTCATTTGCAAACAGCAGACAGGCTGGCATCACTGCTCCACAGTCTACCAGGGATTTAGCCCATGATACCCTGGAGTCTCTCTCTCTCTCTCTTCTCTGTCTGTCTGTCTGTCTGTCTGTCTGTCTGTCTGTCTGTCTGTCTGTCTGTCTGTCTAACTTTGGAGTCTGTCCTGGAACTCATTCTATAGACCAGGCTGGCCTGGAACTCACAGAGATCCACCTCCACCTGCCTCTGCCTCGGGAGTTCTGGGATTAAAGGCCTTTGCCACCACCCCAGCTGCCTGCTTCCTTTTCAATGAGCCCTGTAGAACTGCTGCTGTCATGGATGCCATTTGCTTTGTCAGCTTGCTGAAGTCTGGGTGGATTCTTGGGTTTGAAGGTGGAGACCCTCCGGTGGCTGCTACACTGAGCCTCTGTATGTTTCAGCATGGGTGTTTTGCTGGGCAGCCCCCTAGGCAGATAACCTCCTTGACATCCCTGTCCCCTCAGTAGCCTCACGGTGTCTCCTCACAGCTCAAGTGCCACACCGTGGGGACCACAGTCATCACTTCCCTCTACCTGGTACCATCCTGTCCTCCAGCCTGCTATCCCTTCTACCCCTGGATTTCACTTATGAGCTCAGTGCCCCCTGCCTACCCAGGGGCCTTCCTCACCCTCATTGGAGGCAGCTCCCGCACTCTGGTAGTCATTCCTCGCACAGTCCCTGGTATATCTGTGGCCTCCCTGTTGATCTACTAGGTGGCTGGTTTAGACTCCCTTCTAACAGGATGTCAATTCCACCTGTGGGGTTTGTTCCCTGTGGTGTAGAGTAGAAACCCCCGGCTACTGCTGAGCAGTTGAGCTCAGGAGAGGCCACAGCCAAGGAGTATCAGCACCGCAGCAGTCAGAGAGGTGCTCCCTAATACAGTACTGCCTGGCAGAATCGGGGAGAAGACAAGATTTGTGGAGCGCAGAAGGCACCACTGGCCTAGGAGCGGAGATGCGAAGGCAGCAGACTAGGAGGGAGACAAGTCAGCCAGGTCTCTACTGGGAATTTGGAGGGATTGTGACATTCTGATGTCGCCCTCATGTGGACAACATGGGACAATGACTGTCAAGCAACCATCTCACCTCTACTTACCTGCCAGTCTTTGCTCTATTGAAAGTGCCTCTGTTGTCTCTTTCCAGGTTCTGCCACATTCTTGGAGTGACCTTCTGCAACAAACACAGCTGCTAGGATAGAGGTTCTGCTAGAATTCCTACCTTGGTCCCTCCGTGACTGCCAGAGGTAGTCTGGATGGATGCCTTGGCACAGCATGGCAGTCTGCATATGTATGCATCTCTCCCCTTACCGCAGCAGGGCCCCAGCCTGTGTGTCTCTGCCCATCCTTATCATACTGGGGACTGAGTCCAAGTCCTCAAACACACTAAGTGCTCTCTTTACCTTTGAGCAGCCGCAAGGACTGCTATACCTCCCCCTGATCATCACACACACCCTTCCATTGCCAGTGCCTCCAGATTCCATAGGCTGAGTTTTCTTGCTCTCCTTAGAAAGCCCTTCTGGTCTAAAGGGTCCTCATGGTATCTGGCATATGACATCTAGAGACTTTGTCACTGGTACCATGAAATAACCACATAGGCTTTATGAGTATTTAATTTCCTGCCTGGGCTACTCTGTGACAGGAACTGGGTTCATTGTGTTTACAGATGGAGCCACGGCCCTGGCCTCAGGGCCTCAAGCCCTGAGTGGTGAGCAGTGCCTGATAAAGACACGGTGCATGGATGGAATGGTGATGGACAGGTGGATAAGTGGGTAGGTGAGTAGTGGGTTCATGGAGGAGTGAGTGGGCAGATAGATGAATGATGAATGAAAGAATGATAGGTAAAAATAGATAGGGTAGAAGAAAGTATAGATGGATGGAAAAATGGGTAGACACATGGATGAGAAAGGAAGATCAGAGAGAGGGATGCAAGGAAGAATGGATGTATGAATGAATAGATGGAAGAATGGATAAAAGGCTGAATGGAAAGAGAGGTGGATGGGGTGGGTGAGTGGATGGATAAGAGACTGGATGGGAGGATGGATAAATTGATTGATAGGTGGATGGAGAGGTGGATGGGTGCGTGCATGGGTGGGTGGATAGGAGAGTGGAGGGGAGGATGGGTAAATTAATGGATTAGATGAATGGATAGATAATGCACGGATGGATAGATGGGTGGATGGATGGATAGATGGGTGGGTAGATGGATGGATGGGTGCCTGGGTGAATGGATATAAGAATGGATAGGTGGATGAATGAGTGGATGTTATGTATGGATTCTCTGATAAATGAACAACTAGAAAGATGGATGAAGGATTATCTTCTACAATTCTCTGAGTGAGGGTAGGAGAGACATAACTGTGACATCCCCAGAATTCTGGCCCTACAGTGAGGACATGGTTGCCCTGAGCCCCTCTTTGGTTTACATCTGTCCTGCCCAACATCATAATGACAGGGCTCAGCTTTATTCCTCAAACCCAACTGCCATTTTGTCCTCTAGCTCAGCCCTGAACTTTAATATTTTCTTTGTCACTTAAATGCTTGCCTTCCTTCTGTGTGTCTTCTGCAGAGAAAGAATGCCTTCCCCTCTTACCTGGGTATTCCCTGTGAAGCTTCTGTCGCAGGATCCGCCCTTCTGGAAAACAAGTGGGAAGAGAAAGCTTTTAGGCACTGCTAGTTGGTTTCCAGTTGCAGTGTTGTGAAGATATTTTGACAATATTTTGAGGGTCAGAGGGGACCTGAGACCAAAAAGTTTGGAAGCTACTACCTGAACCATAAATCTGTCCTAACCTTTGACCCCAGGAGAGCTGGTAGCATGGAAGACTATGCCTTAAAGTGGTCATGAGCCTGAAATTTAGAATGTGTATGTGAGTGTGTGTGTGTGTGTATGTGTGTGTGTGTGCGCGTGCGTGCGTGCAGATGTGTGTATGCATATAGGTTTGCATGTGTATATATGTGTGTATGCAAGTATGTGTGCTTGTGTATATGTGTGTGTGTTGCATGTGTGTGTGTGTGTGTGTGCGCATATGCATGTATGCATGCCTGTGTGTGCTTGGAAGCTATAGAAGAACATTGGATATCCTGCCCTCTCATTTTCTACCTCATTCCTTTGAAGTCGGGTCTTTCATTGAACCTGGAGCTAGGCTGGCAGTCAGCAATCCCCTGGACTCTGCCTAATCCACCTCAGTGGTGGGATTTCACACCTGGTCACACTCAGCCTTTTTTTTTTTTCCAGGTCCTGTTGCTTGCTTGGTGAGAGCTCTTACTCACTGAGCCATCTATCCAGCCCCAGCAATTAATTCTCAAATGGCCCAAGAAAGTATATAAGTACATATGTCCATTTTTATGGAGAAAGAGGGAAAGAGAAGAAGAATGTTTTGACAGTGCTGGGCCTGGAGATGACCCCAGTAATGTTCCTGCAGCTTTTCTGTAAGCCTGAGATTACTTTAAATAAGCAGCAGAAAAAAACTTGTTTGTCTTTTGTTTTAACTGTATCTCTCAGTTACTGTGGCACATGTGTTTATACTCTGCTGAGAGTTTTACCCTAAAGGAAGGTGACGGACTTCAAGATGACTCCAAACTGAGATAGAATTACCACCAATTACCCCTAAGTGACAGCCCAGAGGTCAAGGCTGGGAGGATGTGCTTCCACCTGGGAGTCTGGAGGTGTTCCTGTGGGAGAGGAGGCACACACAGCACATGTGGGCATGTGCAGGTGTGAACACGAAGGTGCATTCACATACAGGTACATTCACACACAGGTGCAAGCACACACTGGTACATTCACACATGGGTGCATTCACACGAAGGTGCAAGCATGCACAGGTGCAAGGACAGACAGTTGCAAGCACCCCCAGGTGCATTAACACACAGGTGTATGCTCAGGTACATACATGCCCTTTGCAGCTGGTGGGACAGGTTTCTGACTTGATTCCTCCCTCTTACTGTAGCAGGGCTGGAGGTGGCACACGCTCACTTAGGAGCTGCTGTGTGTCAGGTGTGACCTAAGCACCCCACAGACACCAACTCAAGCTTCAGAACCTGCCCCTGCAGTAATTACAGCTAGAACAATTGAGGCTATGAAAGTCTGGAGACAGAGCAAAGCCTCCCAGGAAAGAAGAAACAGGCTGTGAGCTGTTTCTGAAGCTCCGAGTCTGCACTCCTGTCTCCATCACACTTCTGTCCCAGGCTTGGGCATTGCTGGTCTTGTTGGATCTCTTGCACTCTATGCTCAGCTTCCCCCAGGAAATTTGAACTGGGTTCAGACTCCCTAGAACTGGTATGAACTGGTTTGATTTACACTAGTCTTAGAAATCATAGACTCAAATGAGCAAAATCAGGGAGGAAACTGAGGCTCAGAGACGAAGAGACTGACACCAAGGTCACCCAGGTAGCAGACACAGAGCTGGGGTTATGGGTGGAAGGGAGGGAGCAGGACACAGAGGGAGCAGGAAGTGAGGCTAAGGGACTCTGGGCCAGGCTCAGGGCGACAGGCATTGGGGCAGGAGGACAGTGAGAGGGGGGCAAGGGCTCACCTGCTTGTGGCCGCTGCTTGACACACTGCCCATGGTTGGGTATACCCTGGGCTGGGTCTCCTGGGCGCAGGATGTGGCACTCATAGCCTGAGGGACAGAGTAGTGGCTCTGCCCCATCCTCCGTGGTGCTGCATGCCTCTGCTGTGGAGGGACACAGGCCAGGTCTCAGGTGGTGGACCTGGGGAGCAGGCAGTGCTCCCCATCCAGAAAGGCCAAGTTTCAGCCCCACCCAAATACCATGTCTATGCCTCTCACGCAGTGCACACATGTACACTCAGGCACCAGGCCATGATTGTACATACATGTGCACCCAGAGGTACTACTTCCCACCTGTGTGATGACTCCAGCACCCAGTGCCCATGTACACAGTCACAGTACCCTAAACATACCATCAACCAAAGAGCAATGTGCAAATACACACATACAGGCAAACCCTAAAACACACATTCACAGCTACAGCCACATGTGCACACACAACACAGCCACAATCAACACATACATACATGCTTTTGCACATGTCTTTATATAAAGACACCCACATTCAACTATATCCACACGAACATGTGTGGCGTACCCTGATGGACATAGTCCACATGAGGGAGTGCAAAGCCACAGGTCCTGCTGTACGAACACAGGTACAGCCCTACCTCTACAAACTCCCAGGCCTCAAGTCTGTATGTGGCTACTTAAGAAACTGCCCTCCATGCCCATCCACATAGAGTCTGGCTCTATAGTCGGCAATGAGGCCCTTTAAGACTTTAGGGGTCCCAGACCCCCTTCCATCTCTACTGAGATGGAGGCCCATTCTCGGGTAGAGCCTTGCTGTTTTTCTGCACAGGCCACAGAAACCAGACTGGGTTCCCAGCTAGCATCCCTGTGACCCATGGAAGCCAGTGAAAAGGAGGGCCAACCCTGGCTTGGGGACCCATGGCAGGTACCTTGTAACACCTCCTCAGGACCATCCAGCAGCCAGCCATTGCCACCAAGCCATCGCGGTTTGGGCTGTACCAGCCAATCTAGAACTGACAGAGAGCTGGGTAAGATGGAAGCCTTCCAGGGGCAGTTCAATGTGACCTGCCTTGAGGAAGAGGTGTGTCACCCACAGAAGAGGTGAGGATGGTTCCAGCACACTGCCCCATGGGACATGCTACAGGCCTGCAGCATCCAGGCTACCCTCACCCTTCTGTCCCCCAACCCCACGGCCAAGTGCTAAGGCTGAGAGACCTGAGTCAGATGTCATCACTGCCAATATTATTAATTGACATAACCACCCCTGATGCCAGAAATGAATAAATGAAACATCCATGTTCACCGAGTGCCTGGCATGGTCCAGAGACCACAGTACTAGGATACAGAAAGGAGTAGAGTAGCCTACCCTCTGCCCTGCAGGGCTGACTCCAAGTAGGGGACACTAGGTATACACAACAGTAAACCCAGACTTCTGCAGCCTGTAACAGTGGGGAGGGAGGATCTCCTGGATGAGCGGCTGCTGTCAAGAGAGCACCTCTCAGAGGAGGGTCTAAGGGTTGTGAAGAAGTGACCCTGTAGGTATCCAGGGAAAATGTTAGGGGCACCCAGGCATCAGATCAGGGCTGCCTAAGAAAAGCTAGAGGAGCTGCCCAGCTGGGGACATAGTGCATTGGCTAGGGATTTTAAAGAAAAGTCCCCAATCTAGATTTTATTACTATTAGTTTTTAAGACAGGGCCTCATGTAGTTCAGGCCGACTTTGAACTCTTGAGGATGAATTTGAACTTCTAATCCTGCTGCCTCCACCTCCTGAGTGCTGGGATTACAAGTGTGTACCACCCACCACACCTGGTTTATTCAGTGGTGGGAATCAAACCCAGGGCTTTAACAGCTGAACTACATTCCCACACTGAATATAAAGAGTGTGTGTGTGTGTGGTGGGGCGCACACACACACGTGGAGGTCAAATGACAACTTGGGTGAGTGTCATATGGGTTCCAGGGATTGAACTCAGGTCATCAGGCTTGGTTGCAGGTGCTCTGACCCCTTTATCCCATACTCCCTTATAGGCTGAGCCATCCCACAAACTGCAGCCCTTTTTAAAGGATGGAATTTTATAAGTGTGATGTCCTTGGAATGTGTATTTTCCATGTGGAGGTGTGGCTGAAGGCTCCAAATGAGCACCCAGGCTGGGCAGCAGGCAGCTCAGTTCCTTCTCTCCATCAGGCCAGCATTGGGTCCACCTGACCCCAGCTCAACTTACCTGGTGGAGGTGGCACAGCCTCCAGGCAGGCATAGGCACAGCCATTGTAGCAGCAGCGCCTGTGTCGGGGGCACTCGGAGTCGGCCTGGCATCGTGTGGCCTGGCAGGCACCTGGAGGCAGTGTCCGTGGGGGTGGTGGGCATCGGTCTGCGTGGGGCTGCCGGGGACCTGTTGGTGTACCCTCTTCAGTCTGTGGGACATAGTGGAAGGGCATTAGCCTAGGCTCTCAGCCCTAGCTTCCTCCCTGGGAAAACAGTTATCTGGGCAGAATCTGCTGTGAGGATGGATGGGTGAATAGAGCAGTTCTGGGTTGACTTGCTGTTTCTCTGTGAGTCCCCAAAGAGATCGCTCAGGAAGGGAGGGAGGAATGAAGGAAGGGAGGGATGGAAGAAGGGAAGGGAGGTATTTTCGGAGTGTGTGCTGGAGTAACAGTTTACAGGACCCCCTATGAGCTAGCTGTCCTGTACATGTGTTTGCACATACATGGATGCACATGTAAACACACATGCAGATACTGTACATGTATATTTCTGTATAAACTTTTTTTTGCAATCCATCCACATGTTTAGAGCTTTGAGAATTCATGATCGCACACAGGATGTAGTCACAAACATGTTGGATAACTCTCACACACGACCATGGAGGTGAAAAGGTCACTGGAGAGCATTTGTGCACCCTCATTTGTTACACTAATCCAGAGCCAGGCAAAGCAGATGCCTGGTGTGGGGAGTCAGTGAGGCTGCTGGTGGCACTGACTGGCCGGCCCGGGCAGGTCACTCCAGGCAGCCCACTAACAAGACAATCTATGCTGGTCACAGTGTCATGATGGAATTTGAAACAGGATGTGAGGAGGGCAGATCATCAAACATTCACACACACATACATGCACATACACACACTTCGGTAGAATGAACATACACACAGGTGACATGCACACATGTTCAGGTGACATGCTCACATACAGGTGGCATATGCACTTATGCAGGCGGCACATACACAAGTGGCACTCACATAGGTGGCATGCACAGGTGACATGCACACTCACACATGCAGATAGACACATAAGAAGTCAATATAGAATAGGTTTCTGGGGCAGCTCTGCCTGTCTCCTGGTTTGAACTGTCACTTTCATCTAATCATTACCTAGTCACCTCCCCAAGCTCTCCAGCGACATTTGTCCACTTAAGACGCTGAACTGGATTTCCCTCCACAGCTTGTGTGTAGAACACTTGACCTGCAGCAGATGGTGCTGTTCAAGGAAAGTGGTGGAAACTTTAGGAGGGAGGGTGCAGTTGGAGGGAGCAGGTCATGGACCTATGCCTTTGAAAGAGATATTTGGTCCTTACTTGTCCCCAGCTTCCTGACTGTTATGATGTAAGCAGCTCCTCTTCCTCACATTCCTACTACCAGGGTACTTCTTGCCAAGGCCCACAGCCATGGAGCCAGCCAACTATGGACTGACCCTCCAACACTCTAATTATTTCCTCAAGTATTGTCATAGCCACAAACCATCTGACTGTCAGGGCTCATGTGCTGGCTATATTTATGCCAACTTGACACAAACTACAGTCACCCGAGAAGAGGAAACCTCAGTTGAGAAAGATGGAGTTGTAGGCAAGCCTGTAGATCAGTTCTTAATTAATGATTGATGGGGGTGGGCCCAGCCCATGGTGGATGGTGCCATCCCCAGGCTGGTGGTCCTGGGTGCTCTAAGAAAGCGGGCTGAGCAAGCTGTGGGGAGGAAGTCAGTAAGCAGCACCCCTCTGTGTCAGCTCCTGTCTCCAGGTTCCTGATCTGCTTGATCTTGTCTTGACTTCCTTCAATGATGGACAGCAATATGGAAGTGTAAGCCAAATAAACCCACTCCTCTCCAAGTTGCTTTGGTTATGGCTTTCATCACAGCAGTAGTAACCCTAAGACAGCTGGTGAGATGGCTCAGAGGGTAGAAGTGCTTGCCGTCAAGCCTGGTGATTAGTCTGATCCTCAGGACCCGCATAGTGGAAGGAGAGCCAACCCTGACAAATTGTCCTTTTATCTCCACAGCCCTATGTTATTTCTACCAAAACAATAAATGTAAAAAAAAAAAGTCTGATTATACACCTACAAGGAGTGACATGGGGCTGGAAAGACAGCTCAGGGATTAAGAGCACTGGCTCTTGCAGAAGACCTGGATTTGATTCCCAGCATGCTCACAGCAGCTCACAACCATCTGTAAGTCTAGTTCCAAAGGACATGATTTTATCTTTTGACCTCTGTGGGCACTAGCATGTACATGATGCAGACATAACAGGCAAAATCCCCATGCACATTTAAAAATATATAAGTGAAGTGACTTATGTAGTCATGTCATGACTATGTGTTTATATACATTAGTCAGAACATATGTGTTCAGTGTATTATGTATGTATACGCATGGCAATGGGGGGAGGGAGTCAAAATAGCAACAGTGATCCACACTTGGTGACTGAGTTATGAATTTCTTCCAATTCTTTTCTTATATACAGGGTCTCAGGTATCCCAGTTGGCCTTGAACTTGCCTTCTAGCTAAGAACAACCTTGAACTTCTGACCCTCCTTTCTCTACCTGCCCAGTGCTTCCTTTCTAGTTGAAAATGTCTGCTGGAGCTCACTGAGGCTTGTGGTGGACAAGCGGTCCAGTGCAAGCTGTTCAAAAACAGTTCTGGCTAAGACACTGCTTGCTGGAGCCGAGTTATGCTTCAGCAGCAAGCAGCTGTGGCTGCCATGCATCTTCCTCACGGCATCTGTGGAGTGTTCAAAGCAGCTGGGCTGCATGAGAGAAGTCTAGCACAGGGAAGGGTCTAACAGCAGTTAGGGAGTCAAAAGACCCCAGTGCCAAACTTCTTACCTTGTTCAAATAAAAAAAAGTCAGAGGGTTGTTTGCATCAAAAGCCCATCATTAATATTAACAGTACTTTCCCTGTATTTAACTGTGCTCTGATTCATCTAGTTTTATCCTGTTCTGCTCTGTAGTCATGATGGCTTCAAATCTGGGTCCTGGGAGTTAGCATTCTGCTATGTGACCTTTCTCCATATGGGGACAACATATCTCCTCTTTCTTTGGGTTTGTGATGACTAGATACGGTGAGATGTGCACAGTGTCCAGTGTGGCATTTGTCCCTGGATGGAAGGTGGCCACTCCTACAAACTGGTCTTTTGCCTGGAAGACTGCTCCGTCTATCTTCTGGCTGGATCACCTTCTAGCTCTCAGCTTATATATCCTCCTGAGGGTGGCCTTCTTTCACTAGCAGAGGCATGGATCTTTCTGGTACAATCCTTACCCACACACCCTTTCTGTGCTGCCATCTCTGAGGCTGAGAACACCATGCACTACTACTGATGTCCTGCTGGGGGAGTCTGATCACAGGGAATAAATCTGCCCGCATTTCCCCCACCCCCACCCCCAGTTGGCTTCAAAGCAGGCAATGGCTTTTGGGTTCCTGCCCAAAAAGCTGGCACACAGGAAAATCAAAAGCAGGCAGGGTGGGGGCAGCCAAGATGGGGGTCCTCTGGCTATAGCCTGCTTCACTCGAGAATCTGTCTTCTTGCTTGCACAGATTGCTCATTCAATTTGTGAAAGGTAGAGGGCTCAGTAAAGAGCTTGCCTTGCAAACATAAGCACCTGAATTCAATTCCCAGAATCCTTATAAATACCCAGGCTTACCAAAAAGTGCTTGTATTCCCAGTGCTGGGGAGGTAGAGACAGGCCAGGCTAGTCCACTTTGTGAGTTCCCTGTCTCAAAAAACAAGGTGAAAGCCAGGCAGTGATGATACACCCCTTTAATCCCAGCACTTGGGAGACAGAGGTAGGTGAATCTCTGAGTTTGAGGCCAGCCTGGTCTACAGAGTGAGTTCCCAAACAGTCAGGGATACACAGAAAAACCCTGTCTCAAAAATCAGAAAACCAAAACCAACCAACCAACCAACAAACAAACAAAAAAAAAAAAAGCCAAAAACATGGTGAACAGAGCCTGAGGGACACCTGAGGTGTCATACATGTGCATACACTTGCACCCACACATGCACACACATCTATCCCCGTCTACACAAGTCTACCCGGAAACATGCATACATATATCTACCCCCCAAACACATACAAAAGTAAGTAAATGAGAGAGCATTGCTGAGTGCTCTGGATATGGAGAGGAGGTCTGCAGCTAGAGGCCCCCAGAGACTCAAGGGAGACCTGTGTGGGGATTCTGACCGCTGGGTCTTCTGTCTTCAGCATCCTGCCCCTGTCTGTCTCCCACATTCATACACTGTCCCAGTTGCTTGGAAACTACCAGCAGGGGACATAACCCCTCACCCTCCACTCCACAACTCATCATCTACAGGATTAAGGGAACTTCATGGGGTTCAGCTTCACCAACCCTAATCCTGATCCACCATGACAACCATGCTGGCCCCTCAGAGGGTAACTGAGAGCCACTGGGTACTATCAGGGGAGGAGCAGGCTTTTCTTCCCAGTAGGTCCCATGTGCAGGCACCATGGTGCCTGGGGTCAGCATCGAGCATCTTCTCTAACCTCCCTGGCCTCCTGTCTCATTAGTTAGTCAGGGGCAGCCTGAGTGAGAGGTCTGGAGAGATCAGTTTTATACTGGCCGCTGTTGTCCCATGGGAACACAAGCCTGTTTCCCAGGGTGAAAATAAGCACCTTAGAACTCCTTCCTGACAACAGATGTTCCCTAGGGATTGAGAACTGAGAGCCCTGATTAAATACTTTTGAAGAACATTCCATGTCCTGCAAGGTGACACTTAGAAAAACTCTAAGGAACTCAAAGAAACACAGGGTATGCTCTGTAGCCCCTCCTGGTCCCAAATTAAAGGCTCGACAGCCCCAAGGGTCAGGCCAAGACTGGCTCCCCAACCCCCTCTTCTCCCTCCCCCCTTCCCTCCTGTCTTCCTACTGTACCTTCTCCAGATGTCCAGGCTGTCCCCCGCTAGCCATCTACCATCTACCACCTGCCTGGATGGTCATTTGTGTACTCTGCTCACATACAACACCCCATCTGTCACTCTTGGATGTGTGTGTGTGTGTGTGTGTGTGTGTGTGTGTGTGTGTGTGTGTGTTCCTGTGTGCCAGTATCTTACTAGGACTCCACACTCTAAAGACTAGATAGGGCTAGTGCATGGGTCATATTCCAGAGGCTGCCTTGATGCTTCAATCCAGTTG